TCCGTGCTGCTTTGCTCATTGCTGCAGAACTGGGGGAGTGGGAGGGATATGGCCCTGGGAACTGGGGGAGAGGGATGCACCCCCAGAAAGGGAGGGGGAAGGGAGAGTCCACTGGGCCTCTTCTAAGCAGATCCCCAAAAGGGCCAGTGCCTGCTCTCCTGAAGGCCAGGGCAAGGAAAGAGGCTGAGATGGAGGTTTGGGGGAGACCCTCCTCTCCTCTCTTGGTCCCGCACACCCCTGTGCTGCAGAGGGCTGCGATCCTGTGGGGAGGCTGTCCAGGCTGGGGGAGGCAGCCCTGGCACAGCCGCCTGCTGAAGGGCAGCTGCCTGCGCTGCCCATGGGACAAGCGGCCCCCGCCGGGATGTACCTTGTATTTCGGAAGTCTCCAGGGAAACCCAGAGCTCCCCCCACTCCAGGGCCTCCCCAAGAGCTGTGCAGTGGGAGCATGCCCCAGAGGGTGCCAGGCCCTCGCTACCGCCCCGCTCCATCCCCTCCCGCAGACCGGGTGGCTGGGAGCTCCCGGCGTTGGGGCTGAGCTGCTGCCCACACCGGCCTGCCGCCTTGGCAGACCTTGCTTCCCAGTGAGCGGACCCAAATGTTGGTGTTGAGAGTTTTGGCGGCCACATCTGCCCCAGCAAGGGCAGCCAAGCATGAGGTGAGGCTGCTCAGGGTGACCATGGGCTCTCAGTGCCTTCTGCCCCAGACATGGATGCAAAGACGAAAATCTCATGGAGATTTAGATCGGAAAACTGGCAAGCAGGAGGTGGCTTTTTGGCACTTCCCAAAGGCTCCCTCTGAGCAACATCATCTCATTGGAGGTCCCAGGCCATGCCGGGCATCCAGGTGGCCTTTTCTGTCCTTCCCCGGCACTCCAAGAGAGCAGGAGGCAGGATGTTTGCAAGCGGCTTTCTGGTACCTAGAGGAATATCTAGCCCTTGCAGGGCTTTCGGCAAAATCTCCCCTTGGCCCAGCAGCTGGCAGAGCTCCAGCCCTCGCCCGCCGTGCTGGCAACGAGATGGGAGCAGGTGGCTTGTGTCACAGCTCCCAACATCTGTTTGCTTAACCTGAGAGACATGGCACAGCCGGCACCAGGCCATGTTCCTGTGTTTCGTACTACATCCCCATCAATATTGCAGGATGCTGTGCTGCCGCCGGCACAGCATAACCTGCTCTGCGCTGCAGCTGCATTGCAGGGTAGCGTCGGCTCATCAGCCCACGAAAGCCACTCTGTGCCGGGCGTCAGCCCGTGCCGGGGCCGGGGAGGGATTAAGAGGCTGAATCTGTAATTGATCCTCACCAGGCAACAGGTGTTTAAAGGCTTTGATCTGCTGCTTCTTGATTGTATTCCAGCCCCTCGCTGGAATTTCTCACGTGTAACCGAGCCCCGCTAATCCATCCTGGCCATATATAATGGATGGCGGTGGAGTGAAGGAACACAAACGTGGCTGAATATCGGTAACAAATGTCCGGGCAGCGGTGCAGCAGGTCCCTCTGCCGAAGATCCCCCACTGCCAGTACCTGCCCTCTGTGCCAGCCAGTGCAAAACCCTTCCTCTGTCCCCAAAACCTGGCTTGGCTGTGTGTGGGGGCAGGTGCCGTGATCAGCTTTGGCCATTCTCGGCTGGCCTGAGGAGCAGGACGAGGCTTTGGAGCCAAGCCACCGAGTCGCTATTTCCAGGACCGGCGCCGGTGCCACCCACTGAGCCCCAGTGCTGCCACTCGATGCCCCCGTCAAATATTAATGTGCTGTTCACTGCGCTCTCTGCCCTGCCCCAGCGCTGCAGCCGTGGCTCCTGCCCGCTCCAGGGCTGCCCAGCCCCTTCGACCTCCCCTCCCGCCCCGTAGTGCCCATTGCTCCCAGCGTGGGGACTTTGAGGGTGCAGCTGCACCCACCTTTGGGTGTTGCCCGGGCAGGGCGGGACCTGACCCCCTGCACTGAGGGGGGGGCTCCCGGGTGCCTCCTGTCCCCGGCAGCCGGCTCAGCCCCCCCACGGCAGGTAAGGCCCCGCTGGGGCTGGGGCTGCGGGCACGCCCATGCCCTGGGGAAAGCCAGGCCGTTGCCCCCCGGGGAGCGGGGCGGGTGCGCCGGAGGTACGGGTCGCCCGGAGAAGGGCTGGTGGCAATGGGGGCAGCCCCGGGCTCCGTCCTCGGCAGCGGGGGCATCACGGTGTCTTCCGGGGGCGAGGGGTCAGCAGGGGCTCCGCAGCTCCCTCCCGTCTGCTGAAGGAAACGCCTGCCCGTGGGTCTCTCCCGGGGAGGGTTCCCCGCAAGGACCGACCGGGGTGATGTGCCGGGCATCCTCACCCGGTCACGCGTGGGGGACCCTGGGAGTGTTGGGGGCCCATCTCCCCTTGCCTGCCCTCCTCCAGGAGGAGGCCTGCGCCTCTGCCCCCGGCAGCCGCCCGGCCCGGCGGGGGATGGAGCTCGGCAGGTCGGTGCCGGCGGAGCAGAAGCTCCGCAAGCCCTCGCAGCGGGCCAGGATCCCGGCGCCTTTCTTCACCCACCCGGTAGGTCGCTGGCTCCGCCCGCGGCCCCCGGCTCGTCCCCTCGGCTGCCGCCCCCCTT